ATTGATTTTTGAATAGTGATTTGATGAGAAATGTGTGGTTGAAAAAGAAGAAAAAAGTATTGATGTGATGAAAAATATTATTTTATTGAAGAATGTGTGGTTGAAAATGAGAATTGATTTACTGTAGAAAATGAAAATATGTACCAAACAGGCTCTCAGTCTCCACCAAATTTTCATAGTCACTGGAAAGCAAGGAGGCTAGGTTCTACTGAACTTACATAGCTTTTTGTTTCCCTAGATTGGTCAAGTGCTTTCGAGATATAAATAACAGTGACAATAGCATATATATAGTAGAGCCAACAAAGAACCAAAAACGTCAAGCTAAACCACAACCGACCAATAGACCAAAGCATGGTCCTAACAGGTTCCACCCCAAGCCCTTGGAGAGTAGGGCATGGCAGTCAGACAGGCTTTTGAAACCTGAAAAGCTTCCATTGTCTGCACATCACCTCTATTCGTGTGAGGCAGCGCTATCGACGTTTGCATTGAGCCATTTTTCAAGAGGCACACCGATACGCCCGCAATTTTTTTTTTTGGAAATTACATAGAACTATATTTTTCAAATTTCAAATATCAGATTTAAAGTTTACTCAAACAAAAATCGGATAATAATTCCATATTTTAATTAATAATAATATTATACAATTAAATTAAACTATATACCCCACGTTTACGTCCTTCCACCCTACCAAAATTTTCAAACTCTAATCATTTTTTTACTTTTCCTCTCTCTCTACATTTCCATTCTCTCATTTCTTTACCACACACCACCACCCGAGCATCGTCACACTGGGGCTCACAACGCCTTCGGTCGATCGACATCTTCGATATGCGGTCACCAAAGGAAAAATTAAGTGTCGACATGCAGCAACACGCAGGGTGGCGAGACGCTTCCATCGTTTGTACTTCGCCTCTGTTCGTGTGATGCAGCGCTATCGATGTTCGCGTTGAGCCATTGTTCGAGAGGCATACCTCATCAGCGTCCGCAGCTGCAGCAGCGACTAGCACTGCAGTTCACAATATCGCTGACGTGAACAAATTGCTCTTTCTACTGACTAAAAACTACAGTTAATTAGTCGTAAGTATTGTATTAACTCCAACCGAGTGGGTAAAGAATTATTATGGAATGGTCAATGAACACATTGAGCTTAGTCCTATGAATTAAACTACTTGTACACTCTCAGTGTACAATAATTGACATTTTAAAATGTGTCAAAAGTTGTATAATTCAAACATGATGTACATGTAACAAAACTGTGGATGAATAAATTGGCGCATAAATTATATGTCCTAAACCAAATCACATGCAAGCAAATATGATTAATAGTAACTTACCGATACAAAATACTGGATAAAATTTTGACTTATTGAAACCAATATATGTACATTTAAATTAAGCAAAAAACAACTCACCGATACGTAGAAATTTGAAAGAAATGAATTGAAACAAAGCATGTGAGTGAAAATCTCCTTCAAACAAATTTCGACCCTTACACTTATACTAACATGATCAAATGGACGTCTGTCTTTCAACGTATAACGTTTCGTCCAAAATTAATATTAATTTTAACGAGCGAACCAATGCTTAAGTGTAATCTTCAAGAAATGAAGATATCATATACTAAATATTGAACAAGAAACTTAAAAATTATTTCAAAATTATTTTGACGTAATTTAGAGAAGAAAAGAATTAGAAATCAATTACATGAAATTGGTTTGAAGTAAAAAAAAATTGGTATCAGAAGAATCTTATTTATAGATTGTCATGTGTTTCTTCAAATGGTCGCATATTTTGACAAAAATTTATTTTAGCCATTAGATCGTAAAATTTCATATTTAATGGTGTAGATTGCATCCTATCAAAAAGCCCAAGACTTTTCATCATGCACCTTTGTGAATAGTCACACCCATTCCGAAACAATACAACTCTTTGATATGCACCCTTTACAATGCAAGAGTCGCGATTAGTCATCGCAACAATTGGAGACTTTTCCAATTCACACCTATAAAATTATTCGTAATTCCAACACTCTTCACTCACGTAGTTTTATTATCTTGGTTCTTGATTATCATGAACTTTTAATTAGAAGCAAGGTATAGAGTGTAAATTACAAATATGTAAACAAATTCAGCAGGTAAAATTCTCAGATAACAGTTTCATTGCCTTTCGAGAGTGGCGTCAATGCTCTCCACAAAATCAAGCAAGAATCCATCTGAACCATGATTTGCCAGCAACGACACTGCTATAGGGAGACCATCATGTGTGCCTAATGGTATGCTCACCTGTTTATTTATCAAGTTTTCATCGATATTAATGACTAATCAAGGGTAATAGGAAACAATAAAAGCATAAAGAACTGAAAAAGGGGATAAAACCTGGCAAAACCCAGATAATCCAGCAACAGATAACAGAGTAAAAGCCTTGGCGCAAAAAGTTTCCAGTGTGGTTGGCTCTGTTTGTAGCTTTGGTGGAGGGCCGGGAACTGTAGGCATGGCTAAGATGCTTGAATCCTATGCATTTTGTAAATTGAATATACCAACATTACAACACGAAAACTTGGGTGATTGTAGATATAAATGCATTGCTGCTAATATCATAAGATGAGCAATAAACAATTTGGATCATTGAAGGATTCAAAAACAGAGAGAGAGAGAGAGATGTCATCT